CACACACACACACACACACACACACACACACACACACACACACACACACACACACACACTTTTAGGGCTTTAAAATCAGTATTTGCATGAAAGTATAGAAATACAGTTAAAATAATCTACATATTGACTGTGAAACATAGTCTGTCAAAAAGTGTGTGTGTGGTTTTTTTTCAATGTCAAGTGGTACCATCCAACCTGTGAAAACACACTCAAAGTCTTCTTTGCTTGAATTTACTGAACAAATTAAAATTATTATTATTATTATTTTTTTTAGTTTACTTTAGTTTTACTCCAGAGCTTCCCAAAGTGTGGGGCCCGCCCACATATGGGGGCACGGTATGAAAAGGAGAAAAAAAAAAAAAACATGCTTGGACACTGCTAGCACAGGTGCCCACACACAACGTTTCCAAACCAACTTCATTCTAAGCCAAAGACTAGAAAATATGGTGGAGCATATCTGCCCTTTTGTTTCACCTGCACAAGTGGCAAGGTAGGTCTCCCCTGCATAACTGCTTTTCCCTTCGTTGGGAGCAGCGCTGGGCTCTTCAAATCACGGACAAACAATATCCCACATTCTTGATTATGTTTTTAAACCCATTTTGCACAGAGAGGCATTTATTGAAAAATGTATTGATAGCAATGTTGAATATTATAACACAGGAAAAAAAACAACTACACGTAAAATAATCACACCGTGACGCCTCTGCCTTTCTAAATAGAGGGACAGTAACTGCGTGTGTGTAAGCGTGCGCATAGTCAGATTAACAGTAACAGTATTTTGTCTCTATCTGCAATTCATCTCACGTAAACAATAACGTGGCGCCCAGTGTAATGTGACGAACTTTGTATCCTCGTCCACACGTAAACGCAAAAAAGAAGTTTTAAAAAATCTCAGTTTTCGGTGATTCGAAACACCGTTTACGTGTGGACGAAACAGCTGCGTTTTCAAAAATACCCGTGTAGGTGCGGATGTTAGCGTAAAAGAGTTAGTAGTTTACTTTCTTTCTACCTGTAATTTATTGCAGATTACTTGTATTTGCTTAATTGTTTACTAAATGTTTGAGGTGTGAAATAAACCGCAATGGAGCAAAATATGGGTGTGTGTGGTTGGAGGATGTGTTAGTGCGTGCACGCACGCCCGGGGGGGCACGAACATTTTTCTTGTAAAACAAAGGGGGGCCCAGCAAAAAAAGTTTGGGAACCGCTGGTTTTACCTGATTCACATGTGTTCTTTCAATACGACACTCCGTTTTGGCAGGCTAACGTCAGGACTTGGTTCAACTTTTTAAATAAAAATTAGGAGTTACTTCCACCGAAAGGTTGAGTGGAGCTATTTGACATAACTTTTTAAAGTAAATCCAAAAACCTTTTTTTCTGTTGAAAGAACATAAATTACTCCAGTAAACTAAAAAAAAAAATATTTGTTTGTTGAATCTAACTAAATAGTATTCTAAACCAGCCAATAGTGAGGTTTCATTTTTTGAGCTCATCCTTGAGCTTGTGTGCCTGTTTGTGTTTTATTGTTTTTGTGTGTGAAGTTTAAACTACTTTAATTTCTGGATTACTGAGCTGATTTATTATTTTAATATTGAGTTTGACTCCTTGTGATATTGTTGAATCTTTGATATCTAATTCCAATATAACATGATGTTCTTATAATAAGTTTCTGTTTTGGCTCATAATTTCTTTGTTTTCTCAGTATCCTTTTCTGGTTCCTGTCTAGTTTTCATGCCTCATTCTGTGATTTATTGTTGTGGTTGTTTCCTGAATCGTTTCTTCTTCTGTCTCACTCCTCTGCTTTACATCACTGGAGTAACACCGCTCCTTTGTCTGTGTTTTCATGTTAAGTTGACTCATCTTTTCTCTCTGTTTAGTATTTTATGTTATTTTCTTTTTTCCCCTCTTGTGTCCTGTGTTAGTTCTGTGTGTTTAGTTTTACCTATGTCTTGTTCCTTTGCAGTCTGCATGTAATCAACTCTTTTTGTATATATTGTTAAAGCATTAGTTGTGTTGCTCCTGTGCAGCTCTGTGTTTTCTTGCTTATTGCTTGTCTTAATTAGTGATGTGTCGGTCGAGAACGAAAAGGCTCTTAGAGCAGACTCTTTGAAGTGAACGACGCAAGCCGGGGTTTTCTTCTTTCTCTCACCCTCTCTCTTGCACTTTTTTTCCCGCTTCACTCCACACGCGAGCCTTGTGCTTTGCGCTGGGAAGAGGGGGGAGGGGCGGTAGTTACACTCGCCAGGCACAACAACGTCACATTAGAAAGGTATAGTGATCATCCAGAACTATTTTCAGTTGCGGAAGATAAAGGATTCAAAGTTTATTCATGCAGGCCCATATGAAAGAGAATGTGCATCTTCTTTTTGTTTTCATACTTTTTCATATTTATATTTTATTGTGTTGTGGTTTGCAGTGTTTTGTGTTGTTTCACTTTAAATTTGTTTAAAAGGAAAAAGCTGAAAATTTAAATAGTTAAAAGTTGAAATGTTAATAGTTGGTTTTTGTATTGTATGATTTATTTATTACATTTTATGTGGAGTGAATAAATAAAAGTCTATTTACGGTGGCCCCTAGAGACAAAGCACGTACAAACTCCAAAACACGTACAAACTCCAAAACACGTACAAAACACAACAGAAATGCTCCAGGATGTTAGGGGGAGTGTTGAGCTTTTGTTACCTAGTGGCTACACAAGCCAGCAAGTACCAATGACCAGATTTGGTGTGTGGTAGTCTTGTCCTTTAGCGGGCAACCAGCGGCGGTGCCAGTACGCTGCTGTAGGTGCCGCAGGTTCTCTTGCTTGACCAGCGATTATCTTCCACGCTTTTCGATCTAAGGCGATGGTTCTTACAGGTGTGTGGTAGTAACAGGTAAATGAACTTTTTTTTAATTATTTGAATATACATGAGTGCCTGTGTATAAATACACAAACAATACACATATACTTTCAATTGTGTAATTTAAGTGATCTAGGTAGTGTTTTGGAAGTTCAGTTAACGCTAGAAATGTGCTTTGGACTTTTGTTTATAGCCAATATTAAAGACTCATCATTTGTTGTTCAAGTCAGCCTTCTATGTCCTACATTTGGATTCTGTGTCTATACTCTGTACACCTTGCTACAGTCGACCTCACTGACTGAGTCATTAACTGAGAAACTGTTGTCATTTATATATGTATATATGTTATTCTTAGGACATGAAAAAAAAATCAATCCTGCACATAATACAGTCCTCCAAAATAGTACAAAGTATGGTTAGGGCCTATCAAGCTATAAATATGCTGCAGAACTAACCTGCTCGGAAGCAGGTTATAGCTCAGTAGCGTATAAAATCGCTGCTCACTGACCAATCAATTTTCCAGAAATTAGTTTCAGATGCATAGATAGCAAAAGTTGTTTTAAGAGTAACTGATATCATTGTCTGCAGCAACTGTGTCACTGCTGTATCATGTTATTAATGTCTTTATATTTTAAATAGTTTTCCTTTCGTTTGTGAAATCAGACACTTTGTTGATAAAACAAAAATCTGACCATGTTTCTAATGGTCATCTGGTTGGTCATATGCCACGTCTTTCATGTGAATGTGTGCATAGCTAGATTAGGAAACCTTGGGCTGACTGAGCTAATAAACACCTTCGTGTGACTGCTTAACACAATTGGCAGGGTAAGTGAAGCCAGGTATTGAATATCATGTGTATGCTGAACTTGTTTCATAGTACATGGCCCAGCTCTGGCACCCCGATGCCCAGGTATCACATGACGAGTGCAGAGAAAAATTCAAGCACAAAAGATATCTGATACCTATAGAGACAGCAAAGAATGTAGCTTGCTAACACACTGTACTATTTTAGCTTATTCAGCCTGGTTTATAATAATTTATTTCACAGCATAATATCGACAAAATAGGACGATAAAATACACACGATGGCACATGCACCTGCTCTTTTGTCTATTTAAGCCCGCACAACCCATGTCTGTTTGTTATGGCACAGCGCTAGTTTGTTACTATGCATCAATGAGCATTAAAAATGTTGGAAAGCAGCAGTTTCACGTCATTTTCTTCTCAGTTCAGTACACAGTAGCCACTGTACCATGACAAACTCTTTGTCTGTACCCACACTGGGTGTGATCTATCATTTATTTCACCACCTCCTTTATGATTTTATCTAACAGGAATCACAATAGAAAGTGCTCTAAACATCTGGTGCATAATTGAAGAAACTAAGCTATGGTGCTTTAATAACATTTATAATTGTTCAAATAGTTGTGCTGTGGGACACTTTTGTAAGATTTCTGCTTGAGATATTACACAAGTTTGACCATTTTATTTTTTATTAATCAAAACAAAATCAGTAAACAATGACAAAAAATAAAACATCCAGTGACATAGTCCTCTTACGGTGAATTCCAGGCTGTGTTCCCACAGACACTTAGAGATTACCCTTGAAAAGATGCAGTAGTTTTGCCAGCCTAAGCTCCTAATGCCAAGGTGTTCCAAAATCCCACAGGCCCAGATGGCAAACATTTTAGTCTTTAGGCTAAAGGTGGCAAATTGTCTTTTAGACTAAATGTGTTTTGGGAATCTTTGGTTTTACCTTTATGTACTTAAGACAGAAAAACATTCAGTTTGGAGTCCAGTCTTTTAAGGCATGTTTTATATGGGTTGAATAGGATAAAACCAGCATAACAGCCAGTAGGGGGCACTGATAAGGCTCTTGAGCTTGATTCTTTGTACATCCATGCATGACTTTTCTTCTTAGCACAAGAAGGAGGCTGGGTTGGAATCACATTTATTTAAAGTGTAAAACTGTAGATGTTGTCGGCAGCTTTGAGAATAGAATTTTAAGGGCTTGGCTTGGTTATATGTGACTTTAGCTTCTTTGGAAAACTTCTACATCTAGGGATGTGCAGATTGCAGAAAACATCAGAAAA